CGCTGTTACTGTAAGGGGAAGTACGCCCAAGATGTGGTTGTTATTTTGAGCGAGTTCGGGGATCGGATAACGCTTTCAGATTTTGCCAGTGCAGCCAATGCCCTTGATTACGTGTTATTCTGTCTATGAGCGTATCCCAACCCTCAAAATGCTTGAACATAAAAACACTCAACCCCAACACAGCTCTAACAGTTCTACTGAAAAACGGATAAACGTTCAAGGAATCTGAAAACCTAGTTGAAAGGTTGTTCTTTCAAACCATGGTTAGTTATTGAGGAGCATAAGAACTCCCGTAAAAGGATGAAGATCACGAAGTCAAAAAATGTTCTGTGGAACGCAAGTTTGATACCTTCTTGTGTAAACACGCGACATACGNACGTGATCAGATTGGGGAAGGCTATAAAGACACACCCAATTTCGAATGTTCTGATCATTAGTCCTACGTTCAGGGAGGTTACTTACCGAATAAAGATAACGGTCGTTGATTTCAGAACTGAAGGGAAAACCAGCTAACATATGTCGGTGAAGTACAATAGAAGTGGGCACAGACCATTTCCAAAGTTCGATTAGGTCTCTCTTGGAGAGGCCAAAAGTTGTCTGGACTTGGGGACAGGCAAGCAATGGAAATATTGTCGGCATAATTGCAGAAATGAAGTTACTAGGAAATGGAGGATTCTGTATACAGGTAAAAACAGAAAAAAAGGACAGAATAACAGCCCGATACATATGACAATCGCTGTTCTGCATGATGGTTGTGTGCCAGTGAATTAGGGTAGTATGGTATTAGTAGTCAATGAGAAATTCACGCATTGAACCACACTCAAAAATACCTTCAATAAGCTCTTCATGGTCGACAGAAGCGAATTCCTTTGCATAATCAAAGAAACTCCTGGTTTAGCAGATTGTACAACATAGGCAAAAGTATCTGGGGTGGACAGTCAGGAGTACAAAAGGAATTCCTTGCGCTGTAGAACAGTAATCTGAAAAGCTTTCAGCAAAAACCGGAGGGCAGACGTTAAAGCATTTTCTTTGGGATTGGTCTGATCCACACTGATATCGTTCCACATGAAAAACAGGTCCTGACCAATTCATCAATATGTGTTGCAAGCTGATCCGTGCATGCAACTTACAAATTTTTGATCATAACATTTTCCGTAAATTTTCATGAATTATTTTTCTAGTTCGAGCCAAACAGCGTGACATTTTACACGGTTTATGTCTCATTTTGTGGTATATCACGTCACAGTAAATGCATTTCGCAGTGATATGTGACTTTGTTGTTCCTTATGTGTATCTTTCATCCGATATGTTTAGATGCGTTCCATCCAACTGCTATTCATATAACACAACTTAATTTAATTTAACCGATTTCTGTATCAGTATGATTGAGGATATATTACATTCATGCAAAATAGTCATGTATCACTGATGTGAGGTTGACAAATGTTTCCCATCTAAATATTTTACACGGAAGTTTCGACAGACCCTTCCATGTAAGCTCAGGTTACTAAATAAGGATTGGTGCAATGCACTTCACGATCGATCACATATTTTGTCGGTGTTCATGTCAATCATCAGACACCAAAGGCGGGGACTCTGAATTTAAACTATTTATATTGCTGACAAAGTTTGGAACACACTGTTGCCACGCCTACTACTCAGGGGTATATAAATACTTCGAGCATATTCCGCTTTGTGAATACTAGTAAAGGAAACATGTTGCGAACTTTTGTTCTGCTTGTTGCCATCGTCAGCATATATGGTGCTGCAGGTAACTTTGAATTATTGTGTTCATTATTTGTTAGTCAAAGTCGAAGATCCAAACACGTGTGGTGAAACGAATCCCGTTGCTGATGAAACTTCGAAAGAGCTTCTCCTGCCCAAAGATGCCACCGCAGAATGTAAATGGAATATCACGACGACCACAAGGAGAACAATTCAATTATCTTGGCCCACAGGTGGGACGCAGGAGGTAAGACAGCTGGATTTTAGTTTACCGAATGCCGACATTTGTCTTTAAGGATTGCGTCAATGTGGAAGGTCCGGGTATAACAGAAGACAAGAAAGAATGGTGTGCAAACGTAGTAGAAAACAGACTATCAAAAGCCTACATTACAGTTACCCGGAAAACCCCTAAACCGCCTCCAGAGAAGGCAACAGATATAAAATTGCTTTATCAGTTGGGTGAGTATTTCTCCGCACAGTGGAAACATAAACATGCATTTATTGTATGTGCATAGCACAGTACATTTAGCTGTTTTTTTTAATTTTTTCGTCTCTTTTCAGTGAATGACGCGGAATGCTCAACAGATGCGGCAAAACCAACGGAGGAGATCCAGTCATTCGGTATATCTAAACAAGAAAAAATCACTGCTGGAACAGCCTGTGTGTGGGCATTTCAATCCACTACAGGGAAAAGTCTTCAATTAAGTTTGGAAGTGAATCCAGTACGTTAATGGACGGTGAATTTTAATCTACGAAGAATCACTTATGCCGATACGATACTTATTTAGAAGACTCACTACCGGCAACGTAATTAGAACCTTAAAAATGGAGTGGTTGTATAAATACGATATATATTCTCATATTGAAGATTACTCTTCAGCTTCCAGCTTTATGTTATTGAATACATAAATGTTCAACTCTTAGTCATTGGCACGCTGTTTGAAGTCACACAGATAAGGAATTCTGATCGGCGACATGGAATTTCGAACACATGGCCCACTGGAGAGAAGAGGGTGACATCAGTCGCGTAACCACTGGTCTTGTTTCGATGAATCATTACTGTGAAGCAAATTTCATCGTCAAATGTGTCTGAATCTTCTGTACATGAGACAAATCAAAGAACGTGAACATATATGTGCGGGATCCAACCAAAAATAGCTAATTATCATTTACCTCACCTTTTATTATTTTTAACAAAAAGGAGATTTGATACGACAAATGATATTCACACAGCTCACTTTTTCATCGTTTCAACAGCCTGACACAAAAACGCAGTGCGTCAAAGTTGCGTACGCGGACGGTACATCATCTAGCGCGGCACAACAGATTTGTGGTGAGGAAGGAAAAAACCTTTTCACGGCAGATGTGAACAAAGCCGTCATTGTCAAATTTGAGAGTCCGAGTGGGCCTTCAGCTAGCGAAATGAAAAACTTCAAAGTGTACTATCAACTCGGTGAGTTTCATCCCATGAGGCAACAGAGGTTGATGCAGTTTGAAATAGCATATATTGATTCCTCTTCCTGGTTGCGTTTCCCTAAATCGGAACCCCGCTGGATGTATGTGAAACTATTCCTGAGATCCTGAGTTCTGCGGTGATCTCCATCCGGACATGCAATAAAGCCTCAAGTTGTCTATGCAGAAGTGAGATAACAAGATTTTCTTCATGCAGTTTGCGCACCAATGTTTTCTAAACGATTCCGAACTAATGTGACCGTAGGTGGATAAACGTAAATAATGCTCATAGACATATGTTAGGAATACTGGACGAAAAAAGGTTACAAAAGTCCAAAAACACAAAAGTCAGATGTCATTAAGCGGGAGGTGTTTGAAATACGTAATACATCAGACTACGGTTTATATATGTGATGCCTATTTATTCGTTATAGAAATGCAATAGAACTAAGAACCGGGAGACAAAGAATGGTTTACGCTTTATTTATGTGCACGCCTTAAATTTGAACTTTCTGCTCAATCTATAATCTACTCGCACGATTTCAATTTTCAGTGAACGACAACAGATGTTCCGATATGCCCAATCCACCGACGGATAAAACCCAATCGTTCAGTGTGGCGAAATCCGGAAACATCATCCCGGCTGGTTTGTTATGTGCCTGGAGTCTTCCGACGACTGGTGGGAAAAAGATACGTGTGACATTGGATGTCGATTCGGTACGAATTCGATCATACCTTGTTGTGCCTGAAATTATTGCCTTCCGGGTATATACTTAAAAGAAAAATATTTTAATGGAAACATCAACGAGTTAGGGATGAGATCACATTGATGCAATCATTACCACGTCCGCCTTGTAGTACCAGACTTAAGATTTTATGATCAAGCTAAACATGTACTCTTTCAGTGGGCGAATAAAACTAGTATGGGTCGCACAATATGGTATTCATCAACGCGATAAACTATCTCAGCGGGTCACCTCCGATCTTTTATGAAACTGATGCTTTTGACTGCCACAACTTGGTCATTCACTTCAATGACGTTTCCTTTGTCATTCCCGTCACAAGACATTTGTCGCTTTTGAGTATATTAACCATGTGGGTTTTCACTGTTATACATCGATCAGACTTTGAAGCAGTAAATTTGTACTGACAATATATGAACCATTTACCTCACCCCTCTGCACCCCCTCATGTTTTACGCAGACCAAAACCAAAAATCAATGCGTTACAGTTACCGAGGTGGACAAAACCAAACCGACTGTGGTCTGTGGTAAAGAACAACAGAACAAGTTCGTCTCGACTGGAAATGACGTGGTTATCACATACGGCGAGCAGAAAACAGAAAAGACAGATGTGGCCAACTTCAAAATATTTTATCAATTTGGTGGGTGGCAAAGAAGTTTAGACTAGTTTTATATTGGCATTCGAGTGTCGTGCTTTGCCTGTGGATTGAAAAGCTATTCATTCCACAGTTCAGTTTTTATGAATTTTCCTGCGTCGATTTTCCTAGATAATATTTTCGAACATCATTTGATGATTTCAGTCATATCAACCTTTACATGTATACTAATTCTTCACTGATCTACCATTATTCCCTTGTAGATGTTGCTGCCAAATCGATGTCATCCACGTTGCTCTCAATGGGATGCATGCTGGTTGGGATGTATACTCAAAACTGGTAAAATTACCGCGGATGTTCATGTAAAATTCCTTGTTGTTGTTCAATAAACAAATCGGTCTTCCATTTTTGTGATTGTGCTTAAACCGACTTATTTCCATTATTGTTTAAACGGAGCATGTACTGTGGTGTATTCCAAAGCTTGAAAGACGAAAACAGGGAAAACTTTGATTCCATCAAGCTTATCCATTGGACATTCCCGAGTATAGGGGAAAGTCATTTTTGCACCCTATTTTTATGTGCACCGGTGAAACTGTTACTAAGATTTTCTGGCTAGTACTCCGGTAACTAATCGCTTCTAACGGATCAGCTCCTACCCCAGTAAGCAGTCACAACAGGTTTCCATTTCATTATCTGAATTTACATGGGTACAACTAACTGTTCACGACATAGTGACTGATTGGATTAGCCCATTCGGTTTTTCACAGGCACCAGGCACTGTTGATGATGTTCCCTGTGGGTTACACTCCATAGAAGATCATTATTTGATATGCATTTAAACGCGTTGAAAATGTTTGTGATAACCATCATAGGTGACAAACGTCGACCGTTTGGATAAACAGTGAGGGTTTCATGTCCCAGCCCGAAAAATCGTGGTTCGATTTCTGACGGACATAAAAGGTACGCACTGCCGACGAATCCCAAACAAGATGAGACAGCAGTCCAGTCCTCATTGTAGGTTATCCCAAACCTTGCCATCTCCTTTAAATGTTCACTAGTTTTTTGTCGATACGCAGTCGCCAAAGTGGAGACTGATGCTCTCCAATTCACCGTTTTTCAGGAACGATTTAATTTCATTTCTGCGGAGAAATTCGCTATTGCGCACATTTAACAAGGTGTAGCATTGTTGTCACCCACAGTAAATCAAAGGGAGCAATTGCTCGTTTATCCACCGCGAAATACACTTTCCCACTGATCGAAATCAACTGAAACTTCAAGACAAATGAACTCGTTCTTCACGCAATCACAGAAATCCTGTTACCTTGCATTGTCGCAGTATGCCTTGTCTGGTGATGCGTACCATTGCGATTCCTTGACCATCTTCCTCACATTTATCGAATGGTTCAGTATTCTCGACCACAAGGTTTGGGAAAGATACAAATGTGGTTCGTTGGCAAATCAATCCTATGAAACAAAGGCAAATGACAAATCATGGTCACAAAACGAAAGCTTATTCGCATAGACGAAGAACAGTAGATCCCCGTCTGTTGATCAACCAGCGGTTAGGGTTGATTACAATACTCTCTGAAAAGCTTCAAGAGTTTTGCAATGACCAACGGAGAGCACTGGAGGGTGGTTTAGTTCTGGTTGGTAAACATCAGTGGTGAGTACGTTTTATGCCCCAGGCGGGATTCGAGCAGCGATTCTTCGGGCTGGGGTTTGAAACCCTCACCCTTCAGCTACACGTTCGACGATTTTCACCCCGTGCGAATGGCTCAATCAATTTTGATGGTGGGTCCTCACAGGAACACAAAATGCACGCACTGATGACGAGTCCCAAACAATTCGAAAAAACTGTCCAGTGTTCTTTTTTCTTTATCACAAACACTTGCATCGCATTCCATTCGAAGTTAACAAATGTTGACGCAGTGGGTTTGTTCCGATTGATGACGTCAGGTATGTTGTTTTGGAGTCCTCCGGGGAGCTGAAGTGTCTCAACCCCGTGAGTTGAAAATCAGTCAGTTTAACCGCAAAAAACTAGTGTTTTATTTGACCGTAGTGGTTCATCGGAAAATAAAGTGTCGATGAGGGAGCAAATTATGACGGTGTTTGCAAGTTAACTTAAACATTCCTCGAACTGCAATTCTTTGAATTGAATTTGGTGTATATCTTAGACATAAATTCGTTCATGCAACGTGCGAAGTCCGATAGTTCCGTCAAACATTCCACGAGTAGCGGTGAGACAACCAGAATGATTGCAGCATGTTGGGTATTCCGAGAGGAACTGATGGCCAAAAGTCACCTACTTCAAGCATACCCCTGATAACAGTCCTTCATGCCATTTTCATTCAGATCACAAGTCTTTAACACGCGTGTTTGTGTAAAGCAGAACAGGGATGTCGGAAGCCGTTTTTAGGGTTGCCCATTTTGAAGGGTAAACTTATCTCGAGGAAATCGGATTATCATTAGATGTATACATCTAACCTTTCTCGGAACATATATTAACGACAGATACAGTAATACCAGTTAGGTATCATTCAAGATCGCCTAACTCTCCATCACGCGATGGAGGTCATTTCCTGGTAGTGCTGTTTGCAACAGACCTACCGAGAGCAAATCATGAGGAACTTTGGCCGCCAGTGTGCAAATATGAAAAACTGGCAGCACATGTTATTCTTCCACGAAGCCGGTTCAGTCGTTTAAATTGAAAAGTCGTTGATTTTATTGTGGTAAACTACACAGAGTGAAAGCCTTTCATGCTCCTGAAGACTTCTACTGATATTGTTTTTCGAACAGACAGGATGGGAAATTCTGTTGATGAACAGGCCATTCGATCTTCATCACATGAGGCAATTTTGTTTCGTATTTACTAGAAAATATTCTACTAATCTGAAGCCGAGTTCACATATTTTGCAATAGTTTATGATCACTGTATGACGATGGGGCCGCTTTCCTAGCCTAGTCGTTGACAACCTATGGATATCCATGAATCGTTGGGGGTTACCGCTTTGTAGCAAAGTTTTCTTTAGGAATTCTTCTTTTTGTAGTGTCTGGCTATCCATTGACTGGTATGAAAACTGCATTCTTCTCATGAAATCAATCTAGTTCTATATCATGATATGTTTAAGGACGATTGTTGGAAGGAACACAATCTCATGCCTCAAATTGAAATAAATCCTAATGTAAGCACAGTCACCTAAATTTTGCTCATACCAACCTCTCAATGAATGAACAAGAATGGGAGATGAAACTTCCTAAATAGGACCAGTCTGGTATGTTCAAGGAAGGCGAGAGGCTTATTATAAGGCGACAAAATAAATGCCATAATGTTGCCAGTACGTAGTAATCTTCACACCGGAAAGAAAACGGGCAAACTTACCAGGTTTTCCTCTATCACTGCATTTGGTGTGGAAACATTTGCGAAGATCAAATGTGAGTGGTTGGATTTTGAGGAGTGAAAATTGGCAGGCACTTTCTTTCGTGAACTTCACACACCATAACACAGTAGGGGAATGATGTGGAGAAAACCAAACCGAACAGGCATGGTATCGAGTGAATTAGGTGCGTTTTGCTCGTCTCATTTCATATGATTTGTAACAGAATATGTGGACACACATATTCGGGGAATCTGCTTCTGGGGGAGGGACCGCTGAAGATTGTGTGAGCCTCTAAGGAATTTTTTGAACATGAGCGCTTGGCCTTACCATTCGGTTGCCCTACAAATCTTGGATGTTTCAGCACCCGTTTGCAACCTGATCTCCCAACTACTGTTTGATGAATACATTACAATTTATTGAACTTATACGCGAACGACGCACAAATTGTCGTTATCTGCTATTTCCCTTGCTACGTGGGTAGAAGTCACAAGAAAACAATAACCCGACAACTGTATTGACCGAGCTCACTTGATACACTGATCAGGCGAGACTGCCGATTTGGGTTAAAATGTTAGACAGAACAATGCGTGGCGTGAAACAATAAACGGTGAAGCCTTCTTCAGGACGTTTGTTCGCTTTATTTTTGGATTCTGTATTCAGCTAACCCTCCTTCCCTATTCGTGATAAGAGATTAAACAGCCTGGAGTTACAACTCCAGCGATTTATGGATATCTGGATCGCTTTTACCACTACAGAGACTGGAACTAGAGACCGTACATACACTCCGACCGTTGGGAATCAAGGGCGTCCATAAACAAGTTTTACCTGTAAGATCATTTCGTTTTAACGATAAGGAGTGAGTCCATTGGAACGAACTTTCAGGGGTAATCTACGCGTGTCTGGGCAGCAATTAACACTACCCAGTTGAGACAGTCAAACAACTACACCCTCATCTACATCAAAACCAACCTGTCATCCGACGTGATGACCCGAGGCCACGAATCTTAAACCACTGCACACGGACAGATCATGAGAGCGCGATCGAAAACTGAAAGGTTGTGGCAAGGTCTAACACCTTCCGGATCATCAGAAATGCTTTCAAACTCCTAGTAGACCCGTACTGCTTGTACTCAAATCTGGTCACATCTCCGGGTTCCCCTATAGTACTCGGATGGACCTACTTCATAAAACATTGCACCGAAAAACGTCTTCCCCTTTTCAGATCCATGAGCCTAGGTAAGATCACGTCAGGTAGATGGATTGTTTCATCCTTTGTTTAACAATGTGTGATATTTATATATACTATTTATCTATCTATACTGCACCCCCATCGTTTTCCCTGGATTGACTGCAAGAACTCTAAAATACTGCGTTGTGGGTCAGATATGATAACCAAACAGTGTTCTGATATCCTAATACTTACTAACGCATCGAAGATTTTCACAATTTCTGATTGGTGGTGGCTTCGGTGCTCATTATTCTAGGGACGACCACTGTGGTGTTCCCATTGTGAACCTGAATCGAGAAGTGGGACAATGACGATACGATTGTTCGAAGCCATTTTGCACTTAGTACATGTGAATGTCATACGGTAACCATAATTCACCCGGTTTACTTTGTGCCGTGGAAGTGTTGAGGTAAGACTATATGCTTTCAGCTATAAAGGTTATCGAATTCAGAGCCCATACTCTGAA